AAAGAGGCCGCGTTGCCAAATTCAATTATGAAAATGAGGCTATTAAAACTATCATTACACTTGATTTATCGTCTTCGCAGAGCGGAGCGCATGGGGAAAAAATGCACGAGGAAAGCCAATAAAAACCGTCATTTGAGGAATAGTCGTGCACATCGAAAACTTTCAGCTCGGTGCAGACTTTTCAATGCCCGAAGAACGTTGTGCAGTAAAGAATTCGTTTGATACTGTCTTTTTTATATTCTTCCATGAAGCTTCCACTTGCTCAAACGATAAGACGACAAAGTGTCCCAACCCAAAATAAGATGGAAGATTTTGTAAGCGAGTTTTCAAATACCTCATGAGATATTTAAATAGAGACAAAAAGCTCGTATTATGTAGCAAATACGTGTTTTCCGCTTGCCGTGCTTGGAAGTAGAGCAAAAAAAAAAAAAAAAAAAACCAAAAAACGTTTAAGCTATAAGTTCGTGCGCTTATAGTACAGCATTGGCGTGGCATGCTTTGCGATAAATCGACTAATCTGCCATTTAAACCTATGGAAAACATCATGAACGGTGGATGACATCATGGACATAATTTTTCAAAGCGCAATATCTTGGTTAATATTGAACGTAGGAAATCGCTGTTTATACAGATCTTAATATTCAGGGTGTCAACTGAAACAGGCTGACCAAAAATCAGTACTTTAACAGAACTTTTTCAGTACCTCCTTTAGACGAAATTCGGATTTCTCGCTCAAATTGCGACGAAAATAACAAGAAAATGAAAAAAATTCCAGACCTCCTTGCGGAATTTCCGCACTTTTCCGGTACTTCCGGACCGCACTTAAAAAATCGGTACTATTTCCAGACTTGACTTTCCGGAAATTCCAGATTTGTAGACACCCTGATACTTTCAGCTAATCTACAAGAATCAAGCATCAAAACACGATTCTGTGACCAGTGCAACTGACCCAATAGTATTGGGCGTCCGGGAAATAAACCAAGAGCAAAAACAACGTATCTATATAATTTTTTGAGAATTCGAGTTTACTCAAGTCTGAAGGAAAAAGCTGCGGCGGGCTGCCGCGCCGAACTGGTGGAGGTATGATTGAGATGAATGACTTACGCCACTGAGCCCCACGTAGAAATGAATAGTTGATTTGTTCACTCAATGAGTTTTTCAGTGGGAATAATGGTTTCACGTTAGTCTTCCTGCCTGCCAGCGTGTTACGGAACGTCCTGAGTCCAGATAAGATCACACTGCGGGTGCCGCTATTGCGGATATGAGGATTTCGGATGGATCCAATTGATGAGAAACATGGACCTCCTATTGACAGCTTGATCTGAATTGAGCGGCTTATTTAAAAAAGGACGTAAACGCCGTAGGGTCCCCATGGCGCTTACGCTCTTCTTCAAAGAAACCCTCCGATTGGGGAAGGATGGCATGGGACAACCACTCTCGGTAACCCCACGCTTTAGTCCTTCGACTAATGTAAGTCGTCTAGACTGTATCTCTACTCTGCCACCCTTCTCCGGGAATACCCGCGACGAATAAATACATGACGGTGCATGAAAAAAGAAAAGAAAATTCTTACAGGGTTGCCACAGAGTCTGGAAAATCAAATTCCCTGATTTCCCTGACACATTTTCGTGGAATTCCCTGACAATTGAACAAATGCTAGGTTTTTAAAAAGACAAGCAGAAATAGTTGTCCGGCAAAATTTCTTGTTCGAAATGTCAAACTCACTAAAGAAAGCAAATGATGGTGGTTTGAAATTTTTCCCTGACATTTTCCAGTTTTTCCCTGAATTCCCTGACTGTGGCAACCCTGTTCTTAGTAACCGACGTCACCCTTTTCATCGTTCCATCACCATCTCCCTTTGTTTGGGAAAAGGGAGGGCGCACATAAAAATATAAGTTTCGACGCAATAAATGAGAGTGAATGCTTGTTTTTTTGGAAAATTTTGGAAACTTTGCATTAGACATTCTAAATCGGTAGTTTTGAGTACCTGCTGGTTGTTCCTGATCTCTGAGTTTTGCCCCATTTTTTTTTAGTATTGAACGATGGCCATTTAGGGAGTTGTTTTCCCATCTTCAGATCCTTTTTTCTTTTTGATCGCTCCTTGTTAGGATGTTCAAGGGTTGTTAAGTGATCAAAAAGACACAAAGTGGGTACCTGAAGATGAGAAAAACAACTCCCGAAATGGCTATCAACCAATAATAAAACATGGGACGAAACTAGGAGATCAGGAATAACCGGCGGGTAAAACAATTCCAAAAGTACCATGAATTCTGTAAAAAAGGAAAAACCAATGAGATATTCTAAATTAAATTGGAATTTTATCTTTCCGTAGATTTGTTTTTCTACGATAGCTGCGTCATCATGTCCTGTTTTCAACCTTTTCAAAAGCACACAAGCAACGACGATGAGTAATGGCCTACAGGGCCGGATTTAGGGGGTGGCTACATAAGCCGTGGCCCATGGCGGCAAATTTTGCAATGTTCTAGAATGTAGGTATCAAAAAAAGGGAGGAAAAATCGGATTCAGAAAATAAATTACAAACGAGAAGAGACAACAAAATCTCTCATTTCCTGAGAGTAAAATTACAGTAATTTCTAATTTAGTCGTCTTTCGGTGATACAAGAGACAACGCCTTTAATTAGTCGAATTAAGAGAGAAACCAAACACGCAATTTGACCTGGAACGGAGCGGCGCGGCGCGACGGTCGGCGTGAAACGCATAGCGCCTACAAGACTGCATGAATACTTCACGCATTGCGTCAACACACTGCGGTCGGCTTGAAACGCCTAGCGACTACAAGACTGCATGAATACTTCACGCATTGCGCCAAACAGTGTGGTCAGCAGCGGTCAGCGTGAAACGCATAGCGCCTACAAGACTGCATGAATACTTCACGCATTGCTCCAACACGGTGCGGTCGGCGCGGCAGCGGCGGAGGGTAAAATTATTACCCACATTTATGTTTGTTCTATCATAATTTGTTCGTTCGTTTTTTTTTAAATGGAAGGCCTTGTCCAAACAGGGATGGTTTTACGAAACTGAACTTTTGTCAGTGTTGACAGGGCTTTCACAAAAAAGTTTAATTTGTCATCGTTCGAACAACAAATGAAATGTTTTCAATTTATCTTAGGAGTTTTCAATGATAATTTAAGAGTTTATGTTTCCCACAAACCCTGTAGCTGAGTTAACAAAACCGATCTACTTGAACTTGAATCTACTTTGTCCATGACAAAATCTAGAGCAACGAAGGTCGGCCGATTTATTTCCGACTACATTTAGCGATAGAAGCTATTATTTTATGGCTCATCTTTAAAAAAATAAGTATGTGAAAAAAATAAGTATGTAACCAACTGCAATGGGCCTGTTGCATGCAAGAGATACAGCCGCGCGAATAGACTTTTGAGAGGTTAAATGACACGAAAATTACGATGATCACATTAAAAAAGTCCGAAATACACTCCTTACTGCGCAATTTGCGTTGTTAGGAACGCGCTTTTTCAAATTTCCCGCGTCTGGGGGCAGTTTTCTAATCACCGGAAACGAGCAAACGGCGGGCTCGGTGATTTCCGGAAGATGTCGAGTCGTTGTTGTTGTTGTTGTTATTTTTTCCTTCAGTTTGTTTACAAACCCAACGTGATCTCTTATAGTGGTCCATATACGCTTTATGCAGTAACCAAATCGATCATCTGTTAAATATCCAACGCAATCCTTCTACATTTCATTTCACGATATCACGAGCTCCGATTTTTAGGTTCTATAGATGGCTGTAGGTTCCTCTCTTGGAATATAAGCCAATAAACCATCAGAAGAAGAAGAAGAAGATTTTTAGGTTATGTTGTCAGTTTTAGTTGACCGGAAATAGCCGCGAGTTGCCGTTAATGTTTCCGTTAGAAAACTGCCCCCAGACGCGGGAAATTTGAAAAAGCGCGTTCCTGACAACGCAAATTGCGCAGTAAGGAGTGTATTTCAGACTTTTTCAATGTGAGCATCGTAATTTTCGTGTCATTTAACCACTAAAAAGTCTATTCGCACGGCTGTATCTCTTGCATGCAACAGGCCCATTGCGTGTCCTCTAGAATGAACTAGAAATAAAAGGTTCCTTTTTGAAAACGGTCCAATTGCACTTAAGCCTATCAAACAGAACCATGTGCGGGTGAGAAATGTGGGGTGTGCGTGTTGAAGCTGCATAAGAAACAATGTGGTCAGTGATCGTGATTCCTTTTGAAGAATTGGAAAAGCGGGATTTTAAATTCAGGAAACAAGAACTATGTGCCAACTGAATGCCGGGTACTTGAGCCGCGAGCGTGGCAAGAGAACGTTGTGGACAGGGCTCATGAGTTAAAGCCGAGGAGCTACGAACAGCCCCGACCGAGGAGCCGCATCCATTTCCGTTGACGTCACTGGCGCTTTATTATTCTCATTCACTCTTACGTCCAGAGAACTGACGATCACACCCCATATTTCTCACCTGCATATAAATCTGTTTGATAGAAATACGTCCAATTGTGAACACGAAAACCTTGAAATCGGACTGAATTTTGGAAAAAAGTCAGTTTTTCAAAGGCCATCTTTCTCATGGATATTCCTTACTACATTCCCTTCTCTATGAAAGTTCTGAGTATGGTACGACCTGCCCGGTGGTAAAAATACATACAACACTCCGTGCAACTAGTAGAAAAAGGTTGATCCTAAGTAATAAGAGAAAAAAGTAAATTGCAAAAAAATACTGTAATTTATTAAAAAAGAATGTACTGTGAAAATTGGAGAAAATAATCAATTTATAAATATGCCGGTGCTTAGCAGGAGTAGAAAAATATTAGGTGGTAGTTTTAACAGAAATAACCTTTTGAAGAAAATAGCCGAAAAGAAGAGAATTAATTATGACAATTCTTATACCAATCACAAATATGGTATAAGTTAATAAATCAAACAACTTTTTGTTGAAGAACACAACTGCTGCGAAAAATATTCCATTGATTGATTCATTCATTCTGAATCTGCTTTTGAAAACTGGGCAATGAGAAAGTAGTACAAATATTCACTAATTAAAAAAAGGACAGCAAAAACGTTAATAAATCTAAAATATACAATGAAAAAAGAAAAGTATAACATACGACATGGAACATCAAAAACTAATAAAAGATAGGAAAAATGTAAAAAAATGAACAATTTGAAGCGGATCCTCTGCTGAAGACGGTACGTCACATGTTATGTGACGAACCGATTTAAATGTTTATTCCGTAAAATAGGGGTGAAAACAAACTGTTAGATCATCCGCGTCGTTCCTTAGCTAAACGCAGACCAGCATGTGAAGATCTTGGTTGTCTAGTAGATCGACGATCTTCTCCTTGAGGTCAAAAGGTAACGTAGAAAACTGTTTGAACAATACGGTAAATATACGAATACCCCTGTTTACGAGAAACCTGCGATGAGCGCCTTTTTCCAGCTGCCATTCTAAAATGCTTCCATACAGCGGGAATTGGGCTTTGTAAGATGATGTTTGGAATTCTCGTTGGATGTTCTCGTTCCGCAGATACTTAGAAATAGAACCAACGTCCTGTATCAAAATATCATAGAACGATATGTTCGTGCCTGGGACTCTGGTATTTTTCATACTTCTTACCTCCGTTTTACAACTCGATCGATAATCGGCGACTAATTCTGCGCTTCCCAACAGAGAGGCAACATGAACTATTTCACACCCGTCAAGAAGTCCGGCAGAGATCATTTTCACAATTTGGTGCCCAATCGCGCTGTTCCATTTTGAAAGCGCCGGGGTGTGTTGGCGACAGCACAACAGGCTACGGGCACAATAAACATCGTGGAAAAAGAAATCTAGGAAAGTCTGAATATTTTCTGCACGCCCGATCGTCATCGCTGAACGTATAATCAACAGACTTTCAGGCCAATTTCCGAGTTCTGAATTGCTCGGTTGAGATACGGAGAAAGAATGATTTTCTGAATTTCTCGGATAAGATCCAAATTTGAGGATCATTCTAAGCTTTCGTCGATCGGTAACCATCACAGAAGCAAGTCCGGCAGAGACTTCTGTCTCCATCCGAACGCTGAGATCAAGTCCGTTCAGAAGGAGGGTTTCCAATATTTGTGGATTGGATTGAAAAATGGCAGCGAAGAGAACTAGGGAGTTTTCCCGAAAGTTCGCTTTTTTGCTTATTAAAGCCTTCAACGCGTTAATATTATTACCGAGGACAGCGAACAACAAAGGGAATGTACCATTATTTTCACCGACTGAGTCAACGTCCGCTCCATATTCAATTAACATCCTCACTATTTTACCATCAAAATTTGCGGCGGCCGCTGCATCCAGCGCGGTGATACGAACGTTATTAGCCAATTTAGAACTGTTGGCATCGACTCCTCGCTTTAGCAGCTGTTCAACGAGGTCCGGTAGATCCTTAAGAATAGCCCCGAAAAGCAAAATTACCATATCTACATTTTGTAAATTTTCATCATTAAAAACAAACCCATCCGGACAAATGTGGCATAGGTTGTCAGTGCAAAACTTGGATTCTGATGTCAACGCAAAGTAGAAAGCTCTTGTGATACATTTATTGTTTAAGTCGGAACGGCGGGATAAAAGGAAGTCAAAAAGCTCCTTATTATGCTTTTGGAGAGCTATCACAAGGAGATCTACTTCTCTGTCCAGATAGTCACGATATTCTGCATTAATTTTAGCACCAGCATCTATCAGTATTTTAACGATTTGAGTATGCCCACTTGTTGCAGCTTCGTGAGCAGGAATGAGACCTTCACTAGTTTCAGCATTAACATTCGCTCCCCGATTTACGAGAAATTTCACTGTTTCTTCGCGTCCATATTCAGCAGCCAGATGCAGTGCGGTGATACCATCTGAGTCTTGATCATTGCCATCCTCAATACTGGAGTCTTGAGTCTGAATTCCATTTACGTTGGCACCCCTTTCGAGAAGTAAGTTGACAACTTCAAGATTTCCGTTCTTAGCGGCGTGCATAAGAGGGGTGAAACAGTTGAAACACCAGGCATAATCGTCGGAAGCTTCGGCGTTGATATTGGATGAACCTTTTACAAGAGCTTCGACAACTTGCAGATGACCATCCCGGGCAGCAAGGTGTAAAGGAGTCGGGTCATGAGGGAATGAACATCCATCCCTTCCGTAATGATTCTCTACATTCACACTGGCGCCGTTCTCTAGAAGATATTTAATAACTTCGGAGTGATCATTTTTGGTTGCTAGAAGCAGGGGAGTTTCTCCATTGAGGTAAGCGCCACATTTAGATTCAATAACTCGGGAATTTCCATCGACGTTGGCACCATTTAGTATAAGAGTTTTTAGCATCTGGAACTGCCCATTTCGGGCGGCTAAATGCAAAGGCGTGAAACAATTGGATTGTGGTTCATTGACGTCATACCCATTACGCAAGAACATCTTCAGGAGAGCATGGCTATTATTTTCGACGGCAAAATGGAGAGGAGTCCCTTCATATATATGTCTATATCCAAATTCAACTCCGTAAGACAAGCATGTCTCTATAAATCGCAAGCTTCGATCGTCAATCGCAGAGTATGTGAATGTACCACCGTAGAATGATACAAAACTGACCCTTCTGACACGTTTCTGGAAAAGCAAGCTAGCTGCTCCTTTGCTGAACTCGCCCTCCTTAACGTGAACAGTTAAAGGCCCCGTTATTTTACGTTTGACATCAATGTCGACCAGTCTAACCTCGAAAATATCCAGGCGGTAGCGTTGTCGAGCGTTCGCGAACATATCTTTCGGATCCGTTGAATCTTGGATGACTTCTATGCTGTTCTTCAAGAAGAAGTCATTGATTTCTGGGCGGATATCTGTAAAAATTTTCGGCAGCAATGCATAGGCGGTTGCAGGGAAGTTTCTGCGGTTATTGGGTAAGCTTCCAGTTCGTCGCTTTCCACAGCCTATCAAGAGGATACATTGGACGTGCTCGCGCTCGGGCATGGTTTCTTCCACGTGCTATTGAACTTCACTGCAACACAAAAAGGTTACAATTGCCTCATTACTACAAGAGTTGAACATAGGGCGCGGAGTCTAAATATTAGCATCACTGCCTTAAAATGCATGGTTTCGAGGAGTAAAATAGGGTGCATACTTCCCCTTGAACTGTCAGATATTTTAGATTAAATTGCAAAAAAAATTGTCCTACAAATTTGAGGGAAAATATCCACAATTTTTCCGTTAAATTCGTTTTTAACTGAATGAAAGAAGGTAACCTCTGAGGGCTCATACGGTGTTCTTCCTTATCACTACAGGGTAGACACCCCGGCTCAGTATTTTTAAAACGGCGGCGTTGGCCGACCCTCGGACCTCCTGGGGCACCGTCCTCAGGAGACTCGAGGAAATCGGGAAGCCGGCGCACAGTAGATCGAATCAATCAGAGAGATCGGACATAAATTTTTCACTAAAACTGAAAATGTTGATGTTAATTCCGCCACATTGTAAATTTTAAGGGGTACTTCTGGCAGACAATTTTACGAGGAAACCAATGAAACAACTTTCAGAACCTCAAAATTTAGCATTAACGGAATTTAAAGATTTAAAAGTTTCCACATTTTTTGTCCGATATCTCCTATTGACTCGGTCCCGTGTGCAACGGCCAAGAATCAGCGGCGAGGCGTGAATGATCGATGATAGATTTTCCCCCATTTGAAGCTATGGTAAAGAATCGATATTAAAGTGCTCGTTGCGAACACCTTGTCTATCGATCCTTTACCATAGGTTTAAACGGCAGATCAATCGATTTATTGTAATCCAGGCCACGCCAAGACCAGTGGCGTGGCGTGCTTTTCGATCCATCGATATTTCCTCATTTGAAGCTGTGGTAAAGAATCGATTATTAAAGTGCTCGTTGCGAACACCCTGTCTATCGATCCTTTAACATAGGCTTAAACGGCAGATCAATCGATACATCGTAATCCAGGCCACGCCAAAAACCAGTGGCGTGGCGTGCTTTTCTATCTATCGATATTTCCTCATTTGAAGCTGTGGCAAAGAATCGATTATTAAAGTGCTCGTTGCGAACACCCTGTCTATCGATCCTTTACCATAGGTTTAAACGGCAGATCAATCGATATATCGCAATCCAGGCCACGCCAAGAACGAAGGCTCGGATCGGCAGCGTTGAATTTCGGACATGCTGGTCACAGAGGCCGTGGCCGTCCGGGCGTCCATCGCCCCGAAAATAACAATGAAAGTAAATGAAGTTTAATGGTGTAATTAATGCAATTCCGAAGACGTTTCGACTGCTAAACGGAGACCGGGCTCCTTATAAGCGCCCGGGAGCTTCGGAATTTGATAGAATCCGATGCCGGCCGTTGCCGTGCTACGTACGAGCTCTCAGACGTTGCCTAATTTCCTGAACAAAACACGAGTTTAAAGGAAAATTTACCGGTATTTTTCCTTCAATTTTTCAAGGAATTTTTAGGGTTGCCACGGGATATAGACAATGAAATTCCCCAGTATTTCCCCGACACATTGTGGTGAAATTCCCTGACATTTGAAGATACACCAAATGGCTCAAAAGGCATAATTCGAAAGAGTTTTCTGGCAAAATTCGTCATTCGAAACATCAATTCCATTCCGAAAAGCAATTCAAGGTGAATAAATTATTTTCTCCTCACACTTCGGTCAGTTTCCTGGACATTTCCAGGTTTTCCCTGAATTTTGAAATTTCCGAGACATTTCCCAGTATTTCTTGACTGTGGAAACCCTTAATTTTTTTCGTTATTTAATCAGCCCGCGGATTGTGTTTATATTCCATTTTTTTAACTTCGTTAACCCATTTGGCATTTTGTTTTTTTTATTTAATCGTTGCGAATTCGGGCTATTGTGGTGTTTTTCTTAGAGTCCCTCTATACTAACAGCTAAGACAACACTCCTTCATGAAGTCACAAACGGGAATAAAGATTACACAAACTGAACGTTTTTCGTGGCCTTTGACGTGGCCTCATTCTCAAATTCCCTTCTCCGTTCCTTCTCGCATTCCGTTTTTTCCTTGTCGAAACCGTAAGTCCTCGGTCCATTCCAGATTATAATATTTGCAATTGGTGAAAATGTAATCTTTGTTTCCGTTCGTGACACTGTGGAGGCCTAAAGTGCGGTAACCGATCAGAAATGGATTCGCATTGTCTTTCCTCTCAGTGTAAAGGGACTCCAGTTTTTTTCTCTTATCACTTTTTTCAAAGATGAATATTTTATTGGAAGAAATTTGGCAGCGTTGGAATGCTCATACGGCGTTTCTCCCGAAGACGGGGAGCAGTGGTCTCGGTTTCGCCCCACCGTTTCCTCATCTGTGGGTCATTCGGCGCATGAATGTTTAGTGCCCTCTTTCCCCTCATCGTATCATTTGTCACGTGCTTCCGGTCGCCGATAGGCCACACTCGCTTCGGTTATTAATATTAATTCATTTTGTCTCCTTTTTCATACGCCTCGGATTCCTTTCCACTTCTTCATTTACCTCCGTCACTTTACCTCTCCGCGAGCCACGATCCGCGACGCGACGCTTGCCGTTTTAGTCCGGGAAAGGAGAGGCCCCCGTACTGATAGCTGAAACACACAAGGGAATGGGCAACCAAGGCTACAAACAAACATTCAGCATGCCTGGGACGTTTTGGGGTGCTTTCAACCCCCTCCTCCCTCCTCGACCGGGAAACAAAAAATATATAAATTCATAAAAATCGAGAAACCGTATTGGCAAACAAAGCTAAAAACTAATAACAAACTGACGGCATGCCTGGGACGTTTCGGGATGGAATCAACCCCCTCCTCGACCCGACCAGAACACAAACAATGAATCAATTTATAAAAATCGAGAAACCCGATGGGCAATCAAGGCTAAAAACAAACTAACAGCTTGCCTGGGACGTTTTGGGGGTAGTTTCAACCCCCTCCTCGACTAGGAAACAGAAATTCATAAAATTATTAGACTTAAGAAACTCTTTAGATCCCCCTTCTCTTGGAGACACGCGAGGAGGGGGGCCTAGGGGGTTTCTCGACTTTTATGATTTTACATATTTTTCGATTCCTGATCGTGGAGAGGGTTGGAGACACCACCCCGAAACGTCCCAGGCGTTTGTTCTCATGTAACTTATTTTATTTGGGAGAGGGGGGGGTATGATTTCTCATGAATCTTTTTTTGAGGAAGAACGTTGTTGGGCGCAAACTCCCTTGAAGTTGGAACACATCAATGTTTCATCTAGAAGAAAAAATTCCATCGTGCTGCTGCTAAATGCCCGCACATTTCCAGGTTTCCCCTGAGTACAACTTTAATACTAAACAGCCTAACCATTAAAATCGATCAAGGAAGATGAACTTCCTTCTTCGCGCCGCAAATCCGCGGTGGGGCGGGATCTCGATCGAAAAACGGTAAACTCGAAGTGTTCCATTGATTCGCCGCGAAGGAGATATAGCGCTTCGGACTTATCACAATGGCACGGAATCCAGTGGCGGGGCGAGAATGATCGATTATCGATACTTCCCCATTTGAAACTGTGGTAAAGAATCGATCATTAAGGAGTTCGTTGCGAACACCCTGTCTATCGATCCTTTTCCATAGGTTTAAACGGCAGGTGAATCGATATATCGCGAAGCACGCCACGCCACTGACGGAATCAGAGACCTGCACGAAGTAGGATATAATTGAATCTTAAGCTACTGTATAATGGTGTGATGCGGGACCTATAGGGGATGGAGGTCGGACCGAGAGCGAAGAGAGGGGGGGGAGGCCGGGCAGAAAATTTACTTTATGGGGTCACATTAATTAATGCGTTGGAGTCTGCACTTTACGACTTGGTATGCTTGTGTGCTCCTCCACTTGCCTTATACGGTTGCCAAGTCAGGCTTCCGCTCTCATCGTTGTCGGGAAATTATCCAATTTAACAGAAGCATTTTCCGGATAATGATTACGGGGACGAGAAAAAAGAAAGGTCAGAAAGTTGGGCAAGACTCCTACACGCAGTGCGTGTAGATTCTGAGATACTATGCGCGCACCTACGGCACTGAGCGAAATCAGCAGTGGCGTGGCGTGAATTGCGATGTATCGATTACTATGACATTTAAACCCATGGTAAAGAATCGAGTATTAAAGTGTTCGCTGCGAACACCCTGTTTATCGATCCTTTTCCGTAGGTTTAAATGGCCTAACAATCAGTGGCGTGGCGTCCATAGGTTCGCAGTGTTCGCCGAACACCCTAAAATATTTTGAAAGAATTAATAAATTATGGCTAAGAATGTGGGAAGCAATACAGAATACAGAATAGTAGATCGCAAATAAGTATCGGGCGCTTGGCTTCTATTCCGACAGCGGCATGTGGCGCGGCGGAGAGAGAAAATCCTGTGACGCGTGGTCCGCACCGGCTACCGAACCTGGATGATCTGCGTACGGTGAGGAAAGAGAACCTGGATCCAATGATGAAGGGGCAAAGGGTACACGAGAGAGGAGAGGCACCGGCGCGCAGCGCAGAGCGGAGCGTGAGCATTGGGTTCGGAGACAAGTGCGGACCGCGCTCGCGGAGGGAACACAGCAGAGAGAAAAGGGAGGGGAAAAGAACGAGAGAGGAAAGCCGCTCATCAGTCCAGCTGTTTCCTATAGCAGTGGTCCGCAGGGGTTTGCGAACCGCCGAATTTCCTCTATGCCGCGATTCGCCCTCCGCTTCCCCCCCTGCGCCTCCGGGCCGCATCTCCCAGTTTCCCAGTCTCCCTCTCCCACCTCTCTCTGCAGGTGCGTGTTGCAAAAATACGTTATCATTTAACAAAATAAATTACAGGAAAACGATCGGTAAAAAGAACAAAATTTCAATGGCAATGTACCGGCACAATTTTCACCAGAAAGGGTTAAAATCGTGTTCTTGCGGCTTTATTTTTTAAAAAGTTTCCGGGGGAGGCCCCCCGAACCCCCCTTTAAGGAAGGGGAGNGTGGCGTGAATTGCGATGTATCGATTACTATGACATTTAAACCCATGGTAAAGAATC